AAATAATATGAGAATCATGACATCTGCTTAAATTATTTATTTGTTTACTAGTCTACGCCTTTTATTATCAGCTAACAAGTGAAAATTAATTCGTTTCCGGCTAATATAGTGAACAGTTTTCGCACGATTTACGAAAATACAAATACCCTCACGTTAGAGAAAGCATTTTTATAATGACAAAAAAACAACAGGGATTCTATTTAACAGAAAACAATATGAATTAGCAATGAAAATAAATAAAGGGCCTAGCTTGAAGACGATCTATTGCTGAAGTTGGGGACGACTTGGCTTGTCTTGACTTGGCAAGTAGCTGTAGAGTTTGCAGTGGAAAGGCTTGCAGTAAAAAAATCGCGTCGCGTCGTGCGTCGCGTCGTGCTTCAGGAGACGCAATAGGCGACGCGATGCACGCCACGACGTACGACGCGACGCACGACGGTACGACTCGACGGGCGACGGAAGGGGCGACGTTTAGGTGACAAAAAATGCAACATGGAAAGGACCTAAGGCAGCACGATACGACGGGCGACGGCACGACGCGACGCACGACGCGACGCGTCGTGTGTGCACAAACGTAATGGCAAGAAGGCGACGGTGCGACCCGACAGCACGACGAAAGGAAGCCGTCGTGCCGTCGCATCGTGTAGTTGCGTCGCCTGGATGGAGGCTAAAGAGAGCGAGAAATTTTTGTCGTAAATAGTACACCATACATCAGATCTCGGGTTATAGTACAACACGGAACAGTGCACACCGCTGTTAACGCGTTAGTTACCACAAACAATGGCCCTGCTCTCAAACACCTGACAATGTGAATTAGTGTGCAGTTGTTATTGATGAACTGACCCGATGGCGCAAAAGTAAACTCGAGCGAAATGTCAAGTCGATATCCTATTTGTTGTTTTGTGCACACGTGAATAAACAAAGGAGAATAGTGCAAAAACACAATATATTCTGACTGCTTTCACAATTTGGTCAGATCCGTCATCTGTTGCAGCATATGCTGATGATCAATAAGTAACATCCTATCGATGTCAAGTGTAAGTAGTATATTTAACACATAGCCGTCATTCGAAAAGTTAATTTTAATAGTCGCAGTTCATAGCGTCTCTATTGTTTCCTTAAAGATATTGAATCTCAAATTGCATTGTTAATTTTGGGCTTTGCATTAACACATATTATAGGAAAGCACGATCATGTTGAACAGATTAATTATGAACCAATTAGTTCAGAGGGTTTCTGAATAAAATGCTTAGCAAACATACATGTAGGTAGTTACAAGATATGCTTGGTATCTTTTGTGTACTTTTTCTCAAATTGTTGGCTACTTATGATTAAAATAAAAATGAACATATTTGTTTACAATTTTCTCCACTTTGAACAGACAAAAGCAATGAATTGCATAAACCTTTAATGATAAATGGCCACAATATTGCTGTGTTGGTCTAAGTGGTTTTATCAAGAGAAAATGACTTTTTTCTAAAAAGCCCTTATTAATGCACATTAGGTTTATTTCTGGCCTTACAAAGAGCAATTAATAGTAATAAAAATATTTTAGAAATATTTAAATCCATAATAATGAGGTTCAACTGTAGCCCGTGTGTAGCCTTTTCTCTTGCTTGAATACCAATTATGATTTAATGAACTTTCCAGAAGTGAGCAATTAACACTGACTGCAGAAGGGGGGGGGGAGTGGCCCAATGCCCACTCCACACACTTTTCCTTCTGATTGTGTATGTACATTTTCGACTGGGGACATGTCCCCCCCCCACGCAAGTCCTTTTTGCAAGTCCTTTTTATTGCCAGGTTTTAAAAAGCCGCTGCTAATCAAATATGGCCTACTTCTGAATAAACATACTATTCTGATGGGCTTGTGTTTTGCTAGAGCAGATGATTCTAAACTTCCAATTGCGCTGCTTCAACGTTGCCTTTGACGCCATGCACTAGTAATTCGAAAAAATCCCAAAGCCCACTTTATTATAATGATTCCAAGTATTACACACAATGCAGAACACAATGCAGAACACAATGTAGAACACAATGTAGAACTTCAAAGCATTCGTGAAGGTTTGAAGTGATGGTCTTTTGCATAACTCTCCTCTTTATATTCACGCGACGTCTTGCTGTGGAAGTAATTGAAGGTTATATCAAGTGCCAGGGTGCATTGCTCAGATAGAGACTGTGTTCACTTTCGAATTCTTATACACATTCTGTTCCAAGAAAAAAATACTCAGATTAGTTACATACACGTGCATTAGACTTTACCCCAAAAGCGTACAGTATGGGCCTATTGACTCAGGTTGATAATGGGGGTTTGAGGACAAACTGTCTATTTAGTGCATTTGTCAGCTAGGCCAGTGGTGTGTAGCGACTAGTTCTAGTCTTCAGACACCTATTATTGAGGGTGAGTTTCCATAAATATTTGTGTCGTACCCAGGCAGGTTGTGTAGGACCGTGTCGGCCTTGCACAACCCTTGGTTAGCCATTATTGCACAAAGAACTTTATGCGTTACAAAAAGCCTAGCTATTGTTAATTTTATGCCTCACCAGTCACTGTAGGAAATACATGTACATTATGTAGCGTGTCTTAGTGGCTGCTTGTTGAAGCTATTGTGGCTGTGGTATTAGTTATTAGTTTAGCCATCGTAATGTACAGTGCACATAGACTAGTGTACAGTACAATATAGATAGGCTGTATTATGCAGGAACAGGTAATGAATTTAAATTTTAAAATGTGATTCTGCCTGGTGTTGGCAGTATAGAACACAACCATCCACAAAAGGCCACATACTTAAGAGGCATGTGTACTAATTTCTCTTTGGATGTTCTACTGTTTGGTCAAAGAATGCATGCCAAGACATTTTTTGTCTGAGATTGACAGAAATCACCCTATCAAAAATGGGAACTATACAGGCTCCAAGGAAATGTTACATTCTCATCGCTTTTCTAATTGCTTTTTGCCTGGAATGAGACAGGTTTATGGCATGCAAGTTTTCAAAAGTCATAGTACAGCATCGAAAGGTATATGTCACCAGACCCAAAACAGTGTGTATCCGTTGAAGATCTTTGCGGAGTACTGTAGGCCTTCCATTTTCACTCAGTGTCGTTGAGAGAGAGAGGGTGTGTGTCATTTTTCTAATTCAGCAGAAACTTCCACTTCTATGAACTCTAATGAAGTTTGTCTAAAATATTATTTACCTTTGGATGTTCGTTTAAGATCAAATCCATACTCTGACAAGTGTTTCTTCAGTTGTCCCATCGTGAGGTTGCGTCGGTTGATGCTCACACATCCGTCGTGAATCGATCAAAGTACATGATGACTTATCATTTATGCCGGTATATGTACCGCATGTATTAAACCAAAAGTTGTAACTTTTCAGAATTTTGTAATATTTTGGTGCAACGGACGTCGTCGACGTAAACTCCTGACTGTGTACAGATACTAAATTGCACTTAAAACAGGTAAGTTTAAAGTTACAGAACAGTTGCATGTTTTATTTTTGCAGTATCGTACTTAAATTATGTAACATTCTATGTATGCATTGCCTGAATGTATTAGCTCAGAGCCATTTTCTGTTTTAGCCCGCTGATTCCTGATGCATGCATGTTTTATGTGCTTCCCTTCCTACAGTGCATGTTCTATACTCGGCACGGCATGAACTATTGAACCAGTCAAGACTGAATCTCCGAGATGGCTGCCCTTCATTTCCGACGGACTTTACAGTGATTATTTGTCCAAAGGCGCTAATTGTTTATTGCTCTTACAGATTCGACGATCTGGTGTAATATTTTGAGTGTTGGTCAAATAAGCCTAAAGCAATTGGCCTGAGAAATATATATACTCCGTTGCACATGCATGCAGTATTTCCAAATAAAAATATTAACACATAGGCCTAAACATGAAAAAATGCTTCGTTGTGAAAGTTTATTTCTAATTGAAAGATGCCAGATATAATTATGTTTGCAGTAGAATCATGGTGTACGAATATTGTAATTCTTTCAAATTTCCAGCATTTTCGTGTAATTTGACCGTGAATAGAGATTACATGGACAAATTCAACGCAGTGGTTTTATCAGATTACTCGCGGACAGTTGAAATATTTAAGTCAGTGTTGTAATCTTTTTTACCTTAAGTTATCTATAAAATACTAATTCTTCATTTTTATTCTTTAAAAGAGAGGGTAACTTTAAAATATTTGATTTAATATTATTTAACAAGCACAATGGCAGAATTGGCAGGAACTACACATCGTACATACACTGTACGTGCAAGTCCTAGTCATACACAGACATGCATGAACATGACCCCCATGGTCCTATATCCGTTGTTTCTAGAAACCATGTATCGCAAGTAAAATGTAACATGTTGCACCTCGCTCGGGTAACTTATTACAAATGTTTCTTCTGTTTATTTAATAAGATATTTGGAAGAACCAATTCAGAGTTGTGTTCTACATGTACATGTAGCTCCTATCCTGGGATTTTACTGCTAAGAAGATGAATTATTCATCTTGTTTAATAATGGTGCTAGCCCCGGCTACCTATCCATCGTATCTGAAATTTAAAACATTCTTTGCCAAATATACTGATCTGAACGATGCCCACGGATTTCATGGAATCGTATCCAGTTTTCTGAATAGAATAGTAATAATTAATGGCCTATCGTTTCCCCCCCCCAAAAAAAAATATTAACAATACAATTATGTTACCTGAAATGCTGGAATAGCTCGCATACCCACCAAGATAAGGTATTATTTAGTGGAAAAACGGCACGATTGTTGTAGACGTGTATAGTTGACACACAGCTCGTAGCTTGCGACATAGTGAACTCTGTTTTGAGTACTATAACACGTACATGTACATGTAGGTCACCGTCGTTGGCAACACCCTACGTCGTGAAGCAATGGGATGGGCTTCGTATTTCTCCAAGATCACGGTCATTTCTTACATCATTAAAAATGGACAGTTGTGGCAAAGTACTCAAGGTTTTCACTCATGTTACTCACCCTGTCAGCTTTTTGAAATCCAGCCTGGCCAAATGATCAAGGCCATCGTCTTTTGAAAGAGAAGACTACCCTACCCAGTGTTAAAACTGAATCGCACAAGGAACTATGGTTTCGCACTCTGGTTCGCGGCACTGAAAAGGACAACCTTTGACCATTGCACCGCAAACAATAATTATGAAAATGCACTACGTGCAGGCAACAAATACTGTTACAAAAGCCCTCAACGTCAACATCGGTCTACGTTTATAAGTGCCAGGAATCGATTTGGCCATAGCAACAACAGACAGCGTATGTTGCTTATAATTAGCTCAAAATCAACCCAGGGCAATACACAAATACATAGGCTTATCAACATATTATCAAGGTTACCTGTATTCTCTTAAGTATGTCGATCGGGGGATTATTTTGGTAAAATGTGGCGATCAGAATTCTAATTGGAAGATGCAGTCAGTGTTGGGTATGGCGGTTGGGGTTTGTGAATTAAAAGTGCATTTCACGATAATGGCTAAGTACCAGAACCAGTCAAGGCTTGCTTTGCAGTGTATCCATTGTTCACTGTTAAATATTTCCCTGTACATTTACATATAATCTTATGTCAATTCTTATGAAATTTCATGTTTATATACGTAGGCTCATACGTGAACAGATTTTTATTTGTGAATTTACAAAGACGTTGTTTTCCGCTGTGGAAGCCACGTAGGCTAGATGAGGTTGAGGAAGACTGCTTACAAGGTTGAGGGAGATACATACGCTTTTTCGTTGGTCATAACATTGACACGTTTGCTTTTTATTTGATGTGATGAGGCATATTTCCTCGCTGCACTTGATAGACGCAGTATGATCACAGTTGCTACTAGACTTATCTATAATGGCACGCAGCTTCATTATATTGTGCATCGATTTTTCTTTCAACTTTAGTCACAGTTGGCAGGTTGACACGTTAACGACATATTTGTTTTAGCTGTCCTTGTTTTTTTTTTTTCAAGATGACTATTAAAACTCTTTATCCCCAAAAACAATAACAGGAAACATGAGAAATATGGCAAAACCAGCTTTATGAAAATGATTTTGAGCACCAAGGTCAATATCTAAATTTATGTTAATTCATGTTGCAGAAGAAAATTGTACATTTACAAAGCTTGTTACGAGGCTCTGTTGTAACTCCAAAAAATCACTGTGAAGTCACACTAGTGCGTCTGTTACAAAGATTCTCTGTAAAAAATAGATTTTAGAGAAACACGTACATTGCAGCACAACTCAATCAGTTTTAATAGTGTAGCGGTGTTTTGATAGTACATGTATTATGCCATGTTGTTGAACCGACAACAAAAGACGTCCGAACACTGCAGCCTGAAGATGATCCCTTAATTGATGACATGATGCCCAGAACCCTTGAATAGGAACAAAATAACGTCAATGGTGTGAAGATTTGCAGTTATTTTTGCGTGGCATTTGCCTCGCAAAAAATCACCTTTGGGACGGGGCCTGTAAATCAGTTTCCTTGCACGATGCTACTGTCATAGGTCGGAAAATCTGTTTGTTTGTTTTTTGTTTTTTGTTAACTTTATCTAGATGTCGTTGTTTAAATTCAAAGCCAGCCCGACTAATAGAAACAATCTGCTGACGGTGCAGGTAAGTGTTCACAATGTAATTAGATGATGTGGGAACACACTGGCACGAACCAACGGGGTACGCTTAGATACGATAATGCTGGAGGTGGCGTCATAAAATCGTTTTTCCTTTTTTAAAACCATCTCCAAGTAATTTTCCTACCATTTTTATTTGAAGAACACAATAAAAAAAGTCCCGACATAAGGTTTTCTAAGGAGGCTATCTAATGGAAATAATTCTTCTAAAAAGGTGGACACTCGAGGGTTAAGGATGCTCGCCGTGTGGCCTTATGTCTTTCAGGCTCTGTGACAAAGAAAGACACTCTCCGATCGGCACTCTTAAGAGGGTGCCGATCAGATCAAAGATTTAGAAAATGTACCCAAGTCCTGATTTTCACACCATAATACTGCCGTCCGAGGGAGGGGCCCCGGGAACCTGCCCCCCCCCATCAGTAAAAAGCATTAGCATGAAAAGTATATTTTGTTCCTGTGATGTGGCCCCCCTAGCCACAATCAAGTCGCCACGCCGTTGCGCCACATGAACTTTGGCATCAGCCAATTGGAGGGGGTTTCCCCTTTGACTTGCTCCCGGCAAAGTAGCTGCTGACTGAACGGCAACCCGATGGCCTCGCAAAGCAGATGCAAGGTTTTGGCGGGGTTGGCCAACGGTCGTCGGCATCTAGCACTACATGCTTCTGTTAGCTGGACATTGTTATGACGTAGTCGTATCCGACATTGCCTTGAACTCGTTGGGCTTAATTATGAGAAACGTTATATCGGGTGGGAAATGTGAGTGTGATTTCTCATTAGACATGATTGATTTGAAAGGGTGGCGCACCAGAAAGACGTGAATGTGTCCCTTAGGAAGCATCTCCAGTCTACCGCCCAAGGAGGCGCCGGGTACCTCTTTGCCGAGAATGCATGACTTATCAGCCGGGGTACAGTACGTTGCTCGTACATCTTCTTCCATGTTGAAACTGGACTCAGTTTCTATGTCGGGAAAGAAATCGAGTTTCTCATTGAAACCCGATAACAGCAGGTATTCAAAGAAGACCAGGGAATCTTGAAGCTGCGATAGCGCTCTCATATATAAGTACGCGGGTGGAGAGAGACCTTAAGTTGGCGTACGTGCTCCAGATTAGAACTCTTTTTTGCGTTGCCTTGAATATTTGATTTGTGTACGGTGTTCAACAGTACCCTTGGTGAGCCTTGCCTCTCTAAAATCGTGAAAGCCCCTCTGTATAAGAAGGGAACACGAATCACAATACATGTAGAAGACGAAAATCATAAATTGATCAGTCAGTCCCGGCTTTCAGGCAGGCATTATCACGGTCAGTGATTCATAAAAATATAGTTCATGGCACAACGGAGGGGATAGTCGAAGTGTGCGTACAGCCAGCTGAGTAAACAAACACTCGCTCCACACGTTCACTGCATACTTACGTTTTACGTTCTCTGTGTAAAGAACAACGCCCACAATGTCTGTTGGTATACATTATAGCTCATGTAATTTCTATCTGATGAATTTTGCATTGGCCCATTATCTTTCAACCTTGTCCCCAGGGGAACTGTATTCCATTTAGTTTTGTTCCAATGTTAACCCTCCATTAGAAACTTAGTATCAAGGTGTAATGAATTTGTATCATGTTCCTACAGTGTTATTTCTTTGAACTTGTTTAACATCTTTCAACGTTCGCTGTGAATTTTCAAACCCCTTCTGACCCGTGACAGTCCCCCATTTTTCAATTTATTTCATATTCATATCAATTCGGAAACTAAAAACTGGCTCATTAGATAAGATGTGTTAACTGTTCCATACCTGTGAACTCCGACTGCGCGAATTGACCCTGTACAGACAAGGTACAATGTACTGTACATTTAATGCACAACCAGGCACCCGGACTGCTCCTTACACAGTAAGGGGGGCACCAGAAGTAATTCTTTTCAAAAGTTGTGGTTGATGGGCAAACGTTAAAAAAGCGTTTTGACCCTGCAGTGGTGTAAAATGATTGAGCGTGGAAATAAGGGGATAAAGTATTGTGGGGCGAGTGACTTGACTGGCTATGGAAATTTGAAAAGCAGGGGGGCTGGCACCATATGACACAAGGGGATGATGCTTATTCTACTCCTGCTGAACCTTACATCAAAGAGGCGTATGGCTTTTTAAACCGTTCTCCCTTTTGGAGCGCCATTCAATACATTTGGTTGTTGGGGAGTCCGAAAAAGTCTTCACAATCCGTTTTTTGCCGCCAAAATGTTGCAGTTGGGAGAACGATTCAATGCAAATCCACCATGGTCAAAATGGGTGTGTGCGGGGGGCACATCCCCCTGGATCTACGACCTCCCACGATTTTGACATGAAAAAGGTTGCTTAGAGGTGTTTTTCAGGACAGAAAACTGTCTTCAAAAACTTGCCGCGAAAAATTGTAGGGTAGTGCCAAAAAATTATATTGTTGGTCGGTATACAGGTAGCAGAACTATTGGGGGGTACCCTCGTCGCTGCTTTTCAGCATATGGTAGCAACTGTAGGCGATTTATAAACCTCTTTTCAACAGCAACCTGAGTTACGTTGTGTGGAGTGATTTTGGATAGGCAGGTACGACTTCTGACAGTTCAGCTCTGTCTGAGACCGCTCTTGACGTGCTCGAATTGACTGACACTTGATCCTGGGCACCCTGGACAACATCTTGAGATTCACCATCAGTGACGGGTGCAAAAGATTTCAAATCTGGATGGCCCTCCGGCAGCTAACATTCGCTGTCAGTTTTCATGACGAATTTCCATTCTCATTCTCTGTAATAGATGCGGTGTATGGACAAAAAGGTCACGGGCAGTGCGTCATGAATGGTGAGCCAAATGATTACCGACTGACATCCTCGGCTGTGCTCTACTCAGCTTGACCACCGTTTGATGTCTGTTTGTGATTCTCGCGAACACGCCCAGAGAGTACATATGAGCGAGCTATAGGCTTTCACTTGCGGGAGGCTGGGTGGCATTGGCACATAACGAGCTACATGAACCAAAATCTCACGTTCAGAAGCGTGCTATTATTGCTAATTTTCAAAGTATAATTTTTACTCTTTCGTTGGGGAAGGAAAAGGCGACATCTTTGTTTTTTCTTGGTGCCCCCCCCCGTGGCTACGCCATTGACAGACGCTACAGTGTGCCACAAGTTTCGAAGGAAGTAAACACTTTCGGCAAAATTTCAAAGCGATGAAATCGCTGGAGAAGTACGGCCGCACCAGTTTGGTTCCCTAACCTGAATATTCTTGACGACTCTACAAAATCTTAGGTTAGCTATGACCCACGGCTTAATAGTTCATGACACATCTCAGGGGTCACCACGGAAGCTCCGTCGATTGGATGAAAGCTTCATTCCTTTTATTGTCGGGATGTACTTCACATAATACATAATGAGTAAATACTTCTTCAACATAAGCTCACCCTGAATGTCAGCAAAACAAAGTTAATGGTTTTTGGCACTCGTCATCGCTTAACTCACGTTGAAGACATTCAAATCACCTTATTAAACAGAGAAGCTATTGAGCGTGTCAGTAGTTTTAAAC